GCCATTTATACAGCTGTATAAATGGCGCGCGCCATTTATACAGCATTTGGGCTACTAGATAAATGCTGTAAAAATGGCGCATGCCATTTATACAGCTGTATAAATGGCGCGCGCTGTTTTCAGTGCTGTTCTCTGTGTGGCGCAGCTCTATTGAATTTGGATGTGCAGTATAAATAGTACAGCTGTGCAAATAGTGCAAGCCATTTTTCAGCATTTATCTATGGCCCATGTGCTGTATAAATGGCGCACACCATTTTTACAACATTTATCTAGTGTCCAAGGTGCATGAATCAAAGGTGCGTATAACCTCCAAAGCTGATCATGGTTTTGAAAAGCATTTTAAATGTAATAATTTTGAAATTTTTTTCAATTTTCTAACTGAATATTTTTTACAAAACAAAAGCTGAAGTAATGCAAATTTAATTTGACTGCACATCCAAATTCAGCAGAGCTGTGCCATATAGAGAACAGAGCTGCACCATTTCTCTATTATATACAGAGAACAGCGCAGCTCTGTTCTCTATATGGCGCATCAGTCATGGAAAATTTCCCCCAACACATTCACCAATTCTGAAAATCACCCATATCCACCCAACCATGAAAAACGGGTGTATTACGGGTGTTTTGTGCCTGTGTCTCTTACGCCTGGAAGGAAAACAGCTGAGGAAAGATCACCTGTTTTTGAAAAAATCACCCGTATCCACCCACCCATGAAAAATGGGTGTATTACGGGTGTTTTGCGCCTGTATCTCTTACGCCTGGAAGGAAAACAGCTAAGGAAAGATCACCCGTTTCTGAAAAAATCACCCATATCCACCCACTCATGAAAAACAGGTATTTGATGGGTGATTTTTGCCTGGGTCTTTGCGCCTGGCTGGAAAATGGCTGATTATTTGCTGGGGTCTGTCATCACCATGAAATGCTGGGATGTTGTTAATTATTGAGGTGGTAGCATAAGCACTGCTAATGGGTCCATCTTCTTTCTTCATTTTCATTTGGAAAAACAAAGCTTCAGATGCACTAGGTTGGTGCAATTGTTCTTTGGACAAGTTGTTTTTTAAATAGTCCTTTTTGATTCCAATCATTTCATTCAATTCACGTCTCTTTTTCTCAGCTTCGTTTTCATTGAGCTGGGCCAATATTTTGGCTTGTACTCCTTCTAGAAGGGCAGTAGACTCTTGCAGGGCCTGCACGCTGGGCTGCAGTCCCTCAAATAATTCAGTCCAAAAATGCTTTGATGTTTCATGAGCTTTGAGTAAATTGTTCAGGGTAACTTTCCTTCCTTCAGTAGTGTCAGCTGCTGCTAACTCCTTTTTCACTTTTTCTATTTGTGAGTTGTAGTTATTAATTTTTTCTTCAGCCTTCTGCTCCTGTTGAACTGCTGAAAGGCGGGCAAATTCATTGATTTCTGCATACGCATCAGCCATCCTTTTAAGGATTGACTGATTTTCAAAATGGGATAATTTTTCTCAATACAAAAGATTCTAGGGATCCCTTTTCTCTTCTATTAAATCATACAAATTTCTTTCCAATAAAAATCAATGTAAACTTTTTCTTCTTTTTCACTCGAGTTTTTTCCTTCTAAGAAATCTTTCACAGAAATGCAGAGAAGTTTTAATTCACTCCACTCTTTGCTATAGTCTTTTCTAAGCACACTGAGACATCTCCCAGGGCTGATCGTGATTCTTTTCTATCCTTGGCCTTTTTCCCACAATTCTATGTACTCACAATAATTCCAATATTCGCATACACCAGGTTTTCCTTTTCACAATATTTTTATTCTTTCCCAAAATTTGAAATCAAATATAAACAACACTCCTGGGTTTCTTTCACCCTTCCTGTAGTGCTATTCAGAACGGCTCATAAGATTACACCTTTTCAGGGGATCAAAGGAGCTTTCTGGAACCTTTTTCAGGTTGATTTTTAGGAACCGAGTGTTGGTAAAACAGGTCCAGAAGTTGAGTGTCCATTAAACCTAGAGGAGACACAATCCAGACCTAATTTGCAGGTGTCCTTTAATGATGGGGAATGGAGATGATCAGGTCCACTGTTGCCAGATGCTTCTTCCTTGGCACTTTTTAGATTTTTCAAAACTCTTTCTAGTCTCTATACTTGAGTTATTATTTTATCTTTTTGTTGTAGTGACCTCTATTGCTTTTCCAGCACACTTGACACGGGGCAGTGTCGCAAAAATGGGTGTATTTGGGCTGGGGTGCTTTTCAGCAAAGCAATGAAAATTGACTTACTTTTCTTGCACACTTTTTTGTATACAGTACTTGCGTTGAGTTGTCTTTTTTCCGTTGTAGTCCTTGGGGTACTGGGTTGATTGATTCTTGGGCTTTTTTCTTGCGGAGAGGAGACGACACAGCGTACTTGCTCTTGAGAACGGAATTTGAGTTCACAAAGTCAAATATAAATTCAATTCACTTCAATTCACTCATATACAGTATTGGTTAAATATATATACTTGTGAGGGTACTCACCCCACGCAAAAAGCAAAAGGTCAAATAACGTAGAAGTTAAACTACCGACTGCCCCAGTTTTTGTAATCCAAAATAAAATACTCCAGAGATTTATAAAATATTGAAATATATATTATCTAATATTTTATAAATCTCTGGAGTATTTTATTTTGGATAACACTAAGTACAGTAAAATTGAGATTTAATTTGAAGCGCTTGGTTAAGTGGACACAACAATATAGTTGTTCCACTCATGGCACAAAATATGTACATGTTCAATTAGATCCATGATGATGAAGTATGTGTCTGCTGTGTGAAATGTAATTTCTCATCCCAATTTCAACTTCAACTTGGATTGCATGTCAAAATGTCATCCACTTATTCCATTTATTCAAAAATTCACAGAATTTTAACCCATGGGCTGATAACTTGTGATATTTTTTTATGTTGTGCCTGATAAGCACTTACTGAAATAAATACAAATTGCTTTTCTAGATGAACACTAAAGTGAAGAAAAAGTTCAATATTTTTTCTGATCCTGCCAAAAATATTGAGAAAGATTCAGAAATCTTCTGAAGTTTCTCAGTGACATCATTAAAACAGACTTTGTGTTCACATTAGAATGCAGTGAGAGGCTTCACAAAAATCAAGAGAAATAATCTTCATGAACATGGAAATCTCGTGGTTAATTCCAAATTTTCAAGTTTAAAAATATTGCAAGGGTGGGGGATCTGCTTGTTTCCCAGGGTGCAGGTGGAAAAGTATTTTTAGGGGCGGGGGTGTTCAAAAAAGCATCTCCCCTGCAAAACAGGGATGCCTCAATTTACAGAACCCAGGGCAACAATGCCAAATAAAGGGAGGGAGGATTTGTCTAAGGAGTCACAGCAGGGAATGCTAGGTTTAAAAAAATTATTTTTTCAGATCACAAGTGTTAATAAATTACTGATGTTTCAGAAATAAAAAGCAGAATTTTTTAAACACCAGCAAGAAATCACTTCAGACAAATGTTGAGGCCACCAGCAAAGGCTTTTTGAGTGGGAACAGCAGTGAAAATGTTATCCTGTCAGGCAGGGTGGCATGGTTGGAATTGAAATCTTTGATTGAATTTTCTCCTGGCTATGATTCCTTGCCACTGCATCTTCCTGTTTCTGGCCATATTGGCCTTGATTTCCTTTTTTTAATGCAGAAATGATTGTGGGCTCTCAACTGATTTTCATGTCCTACATCTGGTTTCCTCTTCAAAGGTTTTTACATGTGCAGTGTGCTGAAATTGATTTATTGTTGCCTGATTTTTTTTTCATCATGAAAACTTTTGCCTCTTTCCTGTTTTTGCCAGATTTTCATAATTAAAAAAATTTTGATTTCCCAAATTGGGGAATTTTTTTCAAATTCTCCAGGGGCTTATTTTTCCTGTGGGCCTCATGCTGCAGCATCAATAACACCCACCTTAATCCGGCCCTGGGCAGAGAGTCATGGGGCAATTACCTTTCTGCCAGAGAAGATACCCACAATTTACCACATTGTTCTTTACAGGATTAGTATTATTATAAATTTGTTATAACGTATATACTGTACTGTACTGTATTCTATTCTCTCAGGAAGTCAGGTTTGGCATGCATACATAGGCAAACAAACCCAATGAATTTCCACCATGCAAAAACCGAGCATACAGTAATTTGGTTGAAAATGAAACTCAATTAACATTTTGCACACAAATGAAAGTGTTATGGGAATGCCACATGCCTCAAGTGAGTCACCAGTGTTTAGGTTTAAAATTAAATAAAACGAACCCCAAAGGAATGCGTTCTCCGCAAAGGTGGAAGAAAATCTTTTCCATTTTCAAACAATTTACATCGCCCGATATAGCAGCAAAATAAGTCGAATTTAGGCATCAAGCATCCGGTAATTTTCATCTCTGGTGAATACCATAACAGTGTTTTTAAACCAAGGAAAGGACCTGTTGCCAGGAAGACTTTTCCAAATTCTAGGCTCTGGGTAAAATCCGTGTCCTTCCAGAATTGCAACGATGATGTTGTTCCGATTATTCACGTGTGAACGTCCTCCTTGGCCCTCGATTGCCCATGACACAATTATTCCTTCTTCTGCGTGTCTAACGAGGTTGGAGATGTAATTCGCCTGATACTTTCTAGGAATATTCTCGCCAACTTCTAAACTCAAGACCCAGTTGAATGTTTGTCCAATGTATACCGGCTTACTGAGATGCATGTGTTTTACATGATACGACAAGTAATTCACGCAACCAACTTCGACTTGGAGAAAAAAGGTTAACATCCAACAAACTTTGGCGGCCGATTTTGGCGTACTTCTTTCATTGAAATTTAGAAATACCCACTGCAGGAAATCTTTATTTGTGTAAAAAAATTAAATTCTGGAATGGATTGCCTTTTTGGGACAGAAGAACTCATTGTACTTTGATTTATTCAAGGATGACCATTGCCAAGAATGGAAAAGAGAATTACGACCGAGTCCGCCAAAATGAAAATAAAATGTCTGTCTCAATAACTTTCTGAATTTGATGCTTGAAAAATGCAGGAGATTCGAATGAACAACGCGATGAAGTTTGAAACGAATATTCATGAGCCAAGCCAAATGGTAATTCAAGGTTCCGTGTGGTTTTGACGCGCAAATATTTCCACAAAATAATCCATTCAGGCTTTGCTGTTGCAATCCAAGGTGAAATCAAGGTTCGTCTTCACGAGTGATTCACTAATACATGCAACGAAGTCGGTCAGTTTCGTCTCATGATTTTTTTTTTCCTCCTGGGGTAAGTAGAGTTTATGACTACAGTACATACCTTTTCTTCAAAAGAAAATGAGTGCAATTGTATGCAAAAGAATTACATTTCACTTTCTCACACGAGCTCACTGAATCGAAATCAAACTAGTCCAATTGGATCGGGGATCTTCATTGGTTTGCAGGGTAAGGATCATCCCGGTTTTTCCGCATGCAAAATTGGATCTTCCTTGCCATGTCTTCATTGTACACGCATTTTGCCCGCTCAAAATTGATTCGTCTCCGAAACTAAAAAGAAAGAAATGAATGAAAAGAATGTAAAAAACACGAGCACTACTTCGTCAATGGAACACAATGATATTTGATGTCACTTCCCACAAAAAAATATTTTCGGTACTCTTTCGACTTTCAATCGCACAAAAATACTATACAGTATGTAAGAATTACAGCTCGTTTTTGAAGACAAACCCCCAAATTTTCCGCCGAAAGCACGATGAAGGAACGAAAAAAATATACGGAAAATTCTGCAAATCTTTGGACAATATAAAGCCTTTTGAGACAACGAATGTCGTCTTTCAAGAAAAAACGCGACAGCCTCATGAAATTAATTTGTATCTGGAAGTTTGTGAAAGAAGGTTTACAAGTCGATATTTGAAATGAGAAAGCAAAAAAAAAAGTCTTTCCTTCTTGCGAAGAGCATGATATTTTTCCTGCATTTCTCTTCCTTCCTTCACATTTCTTAGCCTGCCAGTGCCGACCATTTCAGACTTATTGTGTGAATAACTCGTTGAAATACAGTACACACATTTTTTGTGGGACTAGTAGCGAGTGAAGCTATCGTCGGTATCAGCTAGAATACATACCGGGCTCGGCTTTTCATAGCGAAGTGTTCTTCGGAACTGATCGATCATTCCTTCTTTTGCCATGATCCTAAGAAAGGAGCGAAATTGAATGGCTGATGCAACTTCAAGTCTTCATTTTACAGATAATAAATTAAATATATTTCAAGAGTCCCACATACCTGTTCAGAACTCTGCAAGCCGCGTCTACATTTTTTTTCTGAACCAACACTGTCCTCGCAACAAATTGCGCACTTTTGAAATACTGCCCCGGGATTCCCATCACGAGCAGGAATTCCGAATTTTCCTCTGAAACTGAAACAAGACCAAAGCGAAGAAATCAAGATAGTTTCTCCTACTGGCACATGAAGAGGATTATTCATGACAAGTCCTTTCTGTTTTTCATTCGGTGAATTTGAGGAGCAGTTGGGGGCAATATTTCCTCATCCTGTTCAAGTCAACGTCGGAGACCAATGCGGACACTTTCAACACTGCCTTTTGTCCGCCAACGTTGAGATCGGATTCTTCAACTAGGGCACAGTTGGATTTCAGCCAGAAATGTTCTTCGCCTCCAGGTGAGACCCGGAATTCGATCAACCTCAAGTTCCTGGCTTCCATTAACTTCTCTTCAATCATTTCTGCGACCAGCTGTACGTTTTCAAACGTTTTGCACGAAACTGGAATGGCGTTCCTGGGCGAGTGGCCAGGAACTAAATCGACTTTGTTGTCCACCGTTATCATGGAATCGAACATGGGTTGAGGCAATCCGAGTTCTTTGAGCGTCGATAGGACTGATTCTTCTTGATGCATCAAATTGGGATTGCTGACGTCTTTTACATGTACCACAAGATCCTGCGAAATTATAATACGAAGTTCAAAGGAATCCAAAAATAGAATTCTCGTTTCACAGTTCCGGCACAGCCTCACGCGCAGGGATTGAAATTCGATTGCCTTTTCCGAAGTGAACCAGACCACGAAATAACGAGATCTTTGAATATCGAAAAAATCGCGTATTTTATGATTTTAAATCTTTTTCAGTGACAATTTCTCGCAAATGAAAGAAGGGCTCTCAAAATAACGACTCCGCGGTACACATGATGTTAACTCAAATTTACACATGTTTCGGGTCCTCATTGAGAAATTTTCCACCAACTTTGATGCATTCACACGGGTATTTCACAGAAAACACCAACCAAAAGATTCAATCACACCAAAATTCCCGTCGCAGAATTATTTTTTGGACACCGAAAAGATGGCACAACCCAATTAATCGCGGAGGAATGGGATGTATATTCCACCAGGGAACATATACTTTATTAGACGGGACTCACGGCCAGCAAAACATCCTCCAGAGTGGCTCTGAAGGAGCTGATGAGTGGAATCGGAACATCCGCCACGAATCCCACCGTGTCAATCAGCAAAATCTTGATCCCGGATCTCCGCAACGTTCCAGCATGTGCGGTAACATCCAAAGTGGCAAACAACTGATCCTTCGGTATCAATTTCTCTTCGCCCGTCATGCACTTGATGAAACTCGTCTTTCCTTGAAAACAATATCACTTTCAACATTGAAATACGTTGAGTTTTCAGTTGAAACTCACCAGAATTTGTGTAACCCACAACGGCGACGACCGGCAAATCATTTCGAACCCGGTTTTTCCTTATTCGCTCTCGATGCTGCCGCAATTCGCTAAGTTGGGATCTCAAGCGAGATTCTCGGGAACCAAGCCGAAGCTTAATTTTCTCAAGCTTCCAAGTTTCTTCACCGCAAGTAGTTGTTCCTATTCGTGCTGTCACCGATTTTCTAGCAATGGTGAAAAAAAATTGAATCAGAGTAAGTCCAGATGATTCGAAAATTAAGTTACTCGAAATGAAGCGTACAGATGAACACCAGTAACGCATGTTAGGCCGCGGAGGAAGAATTGAAATAAACGGTGAGGAAGAAATAGATAAAATTCAAACCAAATGTGAACTGAAAAATTCAAATTCGGACTATCGACAAAACAGGAACGTAAATACCGTGCAGTACTCCACTTTTTGAAAGGGCGAGTATAAACTTCGCGGAAAGATAGAAAAGCATTCGCTTTCAGCTATAATAACTTTCTTCGCCGCAGTTTGTCATCAAAGCCTATTATTGTTTTTTTTCCATGCTGCAATGAACTATTTTTACTGCTCTTTGTCTTCCGAAAATCTTCCAACACAGAGAAAAAATTTGATCGAAAATAATCTGGATTGTGTCAAACCTGAGAAGAGGAATTTCCGCGAGGCTGACTTGCAATTTCGCTTCCCGAGTCCTTGCGTGCAATCGAAATATTTGCAGAACAATCGCAAATCTATCAAACACTGGCATGTGAAATTCCTCCTGGTAGAAATTAATTTGCGCCGGACTCAGCGAATCATGATTAAAGAAAACAGCGGAGGGTTTCGAATCCAGATTTTCCAAAATCCGATGAATATGATCTGTTTTCCCTTTCCCAATCAGCTTCGTCTTGTTCCTCGGGATACTCTCCAAAGAAACTGTTTCGTGTCCAACAACAGTCCATCCCGGTAAGGTGTTCACCAGGGCAATGGATTCCGTGATTTGAAGCTCGGGTCGAGTGTGACGCTTCTTCATCGTGCCCCATTTGATGAAGGGCTGTAAGACGAAAACCTTGTGACCGGAAGATGGAATGCGCAAAAATTCCCGCACATCTTTTTCAGCGAATCGCCAGTCTTCTTCATCTGGGTCGACTTGATTCGAACGTTTAGCACTCGTCGCGAATCTGCACACACGCAAATTTTGTTTCAAAAACGTAAAGTTAAACACTTTCTTGAACACATCTCGCGCTAAAAATTCGCACCACATCGAACTTCACACTTTCTTGGAACCTGTGAACGCATGAAAATCCTTGGAGGTAAAAATTACGACATCGTTATGCGTTTTCACCACGATGAAGAAGATATATTCAAGAAAAGAAAATCTGCGGAAAAAGGAAAAGAGAAAAACGACCATCTTCGTTTCAATCTTGAGTAACGAACACGAGGAATTCACTCGACGATAATCGACAATGAAATGATAGAAAAAACAATTAAGTCTCGACATGACTTCGAAGACATGGTTTCGAACCGTTATTTGACAATGATGAGCAAGTTTGAATCTCCAAAAACAAAAGGATAGCCCGATATTTATTTGAATCGATAGATTTATTCAAGTCATCGAAAAAATTAAATGCAACTGAAAGCATCTCAAATGCTCTTGAATTACCGTATTCACGCGAACGAGACAAATTTCAAATTTTCAAGCACCTCTAACATTAAAAAACCTCCTTTTTAATCCGAGAGATTTACTGCCAAATGCTTCAAATTTTGTCAAAAGTTTCAATCTATTAACTTTCGTTTCTCAGAGAAAAAGGTTCGCACGCAATCATGAGGCAACCGCACAACGATAAGAACTAAATCCACAGAAAAGCCCTTTAATTGAACAGCTATTTTAAACTTTTCTCAAATTGATCAAGTTTGAATTGCGGGTTTTCTTCTTTCAATTCCTGGTCAGTTACCTCGCAACTAAGTATACTTACGCAGAGTATCTGTTGTAGACGCATGCTCGGAGGATTAACGGTACTCTTGATTATTTGAATCACTACGAAATTTTAACCACCTCATGAAATAGCATTTGATATCCAAATCCAAAATGTCGATTCTAAGAAGCCCAATCATCTGAACTTGAAAATTGAATCATACGTTCCTTGTATTCGCGAAAACACGGCAAGAAAACACGCTTGAACTGATGGCATTCAGATTGGGAATACATTCAGGTTCTGCCAAGTATTTAGCGAAGATCGAGAAAATTCAAAGACCGACCCGGGATTGTAAAAATCAAAACGATAAAGCCACTACCTTCAGAACGCGTCTCCACATAACGAACGAAAAATAATAATACCGCTTCATAAAAATATCAATTTTAAACAAAAGCCGAACAACATCGAGGAAAAAAGAGAAAATCACAAACGGATGTCGACGCTTCCAGCAGGCACTTTCGGCTACATATCACGAAATCGCTATCGGCACTTTCCGAACCTCTTCACTTCGATCCTTCTCGGATCATTAAAAAAAAGGTCGAGTTCGAAACACGCTCTTCGGCCGGAGTTTCAAGTTTGGTCCAACCGTTCCGTGATTTGCATCCGAGACACGAAGGCATCCTCGGTAATAATAAAAAAAAGAACAATCCAAACCCGCCTTGTCTTTACACTTGAAAATAATGACGAATTTTTTTTCCGGCTGCGGCAAACTTCCATCACGCTTGTTCACAATATCGCGCACTGAAACAGCGAAAAAAACGGGTCCTTCAGACGCAGAAGTGAAAAAAACATGCGAAAACGCAATTTTTGCGTCCAAAAATTTTGGAATGGTTCGTACGACTTTTAGTCATGCGCCTCCGCCTGATCCCAAGTGGAACGATTGAAAAATGAAGACAACTCGTGGGATGAGACTTCGGTAACAGTTGGCTGCCAACCAAAACTTTCGATTTTCACATGATGTTTTCTCCCCAACACATGCAAACCCAAATCCGCCCACAAATGTTAACGTGATAAGCCGATCAAAACAATCAAAAACTCGACACCAATTCCAGCTCAAGTACCTTCCCGATGAGTTCTCAGGGTTCTCTTCACTTCGATAGTCACGATACCATTTCATTACCACTTACATTCGTGTCACACGAATTTGGTTACGTCTGAACTGTGTCAAGATATACTGGGTTAGGTTGCATGTCAGTCTTGGTTGTATTAAATTTAATCGGGCTATTTTGGTTAGTTCAGCGTTTCAGGTGACCCACTCGTCGAAGGGATGTCGGGAGTCGAAGATGGAAGAATCTTCTCGTTCATCGCACAAATTTTGTGATTTTTCCACTGAACTTCGGCCAAATACAGATGAAATTTGGCACTTCCAAAACCTCAAAATTTGCTAGCGATGCACAGGATGAGCATGACTTTGATCAAGAATCAGCCCCACATTACGAAGTATCTTCGAAAAGCTCGGATACTGGACCATTCTTCATTTAGAAAAATCAAGAATATTTACATCTCCGCCTATTGGAAGAGGACAATTTTTTGACTTGACGTCGGAAATGCCGAGATTTTTCGGAGAAAGCTTTTGACCGCAAAGGCACAAAAATGAATTGAACGCAAAACTTTCAACGACAAATTTTTCAAACCGATTCAGGGACATGGCAACGATGTAATATCAGTATGCGAAAGCAAATACCAAGAGATATGCGGAAACTAGACTCAAAATTAAGAATGCTACCAGGTGGATACGACAAAAAAGGAGGTGACATACGCATTCAGACCATCGACTTCGAGGTGCACTCACAGGGTCCCGTTTCTTCTCCTTCGTGGAGGGTTGGCGCGACATGGGCGAAACCCGGTCCGGTATTCGCCCTGCAACACTGCTTCTTTCAGATCGAGCATTTCGCGCTTTGCTGAAAAAAAGGAATTGAATATTATTACAAGGAAATGTGATACGAGGCGTGAGCAAAGAATACGAAAAATATTCAATGCCGAAATTCCGAAGAGCGCCAACCTGCGTAAATGCAGATTTGTCCAGAAATACGCTTTTTCTTAAAGAGGCAAGTTGATTAAGGTCAGTTATTTGAAAGCTTTATTTTGGTTCCGTGCGTCATGATTTTTCATAGATCATCGAAGTGAGAAAATGCAAATAATTATATTGAAACTATTTCCACGTAAAAAAACAAGTCAATCGATCGATACGTGTTTTTTTTAAATCAGAAAATTCGCCAGCATCACAGGCGTTCAAATTCATACGACCGCGAGGAGAATACTGAAACTTGCCACAGAAACATGAAAAAAATCGCTGTCGTTGAATTAGTCCGAATTGCGACAGAAATTACGAAATGTTTTCCGAAATGGGAAAACTATACATACTTGTAAATTTGGTTGTACTCCAGACGCGTCTGATCGTCCTTCCCCAGCTGTTCGGCAAAGGAGAAATCCTTCTCAAACTGCTGATGTCGCTCTTTCTCTTCTTCGTCCAACTTGAGAGCCCAGCGAAAACTAAAAATAGGAAAATACGAAATCATGCTTGATTACACGGTGCCTCGCCTTCGGGTGAACACGGGAAAGGATACTGAAATGTGCTTGGCAGACGAAACAAAATTTTTTCTCAATCACTGTTCGTCTCAATGATTTCCTCATGACTACGCGTGTTTCATAATACAGTAACGCCAGGATTGCCGCGTTGCTTCCATTTCCGGCACCATGCAAATAACTCCATTCGAGAAGTCGTAATATTCTGCTCAAATTACTGCAACACAAAATTCAAGAAACCTTTTCTGGAAATACAGTACCTTAAATACAAGACATTACTACGTATTGTTCAATAGTACTATCAAAGGGACAGCCGAAAAAAATCCAGCTCTGTACTTTTAAAGGAGGAAGGCAAGAAATTAACAGGTACACTTTCGAAATTTTTGTTGTTGCCACATTTGTGTCCCTTTCTTTGGATTTGTATTCCATCTTCCCTAGGATGGTGAGAAGAACCACAAAGAAAAAAAATTCTTGAAGCATATTTCTTGGACTGGAATCCGAGAGTATGTCATGACATTGCACTGAATTCGGAAATTTTACACTTGAATTCAGAAAATGTTTCTTGAATGTTGCGTTGATTCAAGTTTTATAGTAAGGTGGGCCAAAACATCCCAAATGTAGCACAATCGGGCAACAACAAAAAAAGAAAAAATACGCATTAATTCTGGCACCCATGAGCTTTGGAGCTGTTATACAGGCAGCACTGAAGCGATTTTTGAGAGCCCACGCATAACCAATTCCTTTGAACATAAGCTACAATCATACGTGATAAATCACAAAGTAAGCCTTACTCTTGCTCGATCTGATGATCCATAGCCTCTTTTGCCACTTCAAGCTGAGGCTCCTCCGAGGACTGAGGGGACCGTTTTGCACTTTCCAAAACAAGAAAACCGTCTTCCACACGATCAACTTCGGTGTTGGGACCTCGGAATTTCCCGTCAAGAAACACAGAGTCCCCCTCCACTGACGTCAGGGTTTCCCACACAGCCTCATCGTTGTCAATGAAGCCGATATCCGATACTAACGTGAGCAACTGGCCCTGTGCGGAACATGAAAGAAAACTTCAACAGCCCTTGCAAAACAGGAGGGGAAACCGATGGAAAAGTCTTCCAAGTTTTCAATTTCAAATTATTTTGCGCGTAGATGCTCCTCGATCATTCAGAAAAACCTGCGATAGGGTGTCCAAAAAAAGTTAATGTTTTGGTGAACAGGATACATTTTTCAGCTGGATTGACAAAATGAGGGAATCGTGAATCTCGAAGAATTCACGATGACGTCGCAGAGTGACAGACCAGATTTAATCAAACACTCAGTCAAAGCAGATCCGAACCTGTTCGCAAAAAAATCTGCTTCAGCTTTTTTACGCACAAAAAGTTTAAAAATGGCTTCGAGCTTTACGCAAACAAAAGAAAAAATCCTCAGCTGAACATCACAGAGATCCATACGTACATTCAAACTTTCGCAATTCATATACTCGAGCAACTTCTCGAGCAGAAGAAATGACAAAGAAAGGGTGTCAAAAAAAGTTACTGGTGTGCCAAGAAATTTGAGATCAACATGATACATAATACAAATTCAGCAACAAGCGATTCTTCTTCCAATAGATGTCACACGCTGCGAAAAAGCATTTATTTCTCATTTAACCGTTGCAGTGAGTCATCCCAAGATCCTGGGTTTCTTCCGTATACATAAGCACCGGTAAAACCACATAGGCCTATTTATTTGTTCTGACTGGAAACTAATAGAAATCAACTAATTTTACCTTTTTTTCTACTCCACGCAATAATTAACATTACCTTCTCACAACATATTCACCGCCGTTTTGACGCGTTTTCTCTCCACAAAGTTAATGTTTTGGACAGCTTAAATGAACTCTCGAGCTTGACAGATTTTAGGAAGTCGTTGCACAAGGCAGTCTGCTCAAACCAACATTCGGTATATGAAGTGATTCCCTGTTGGAAACGTCCCCGGGCTTTCGTCGCGCGGGGACCCCGTTACAAACCCGACGTTTCCAACGGGTTTGTAACAGGGTCCCCGCGCGACGAAAGCCCGGGACACGAAAGCCCCGCGCGACAATAGCCCTGACACGAAATCCCCGCCATGCCACAGATTCTTTGTCCACGAACGTAATTGATGTCAAAATACTAGAAAATTAGTGAATATTACTAAAATTATTTCAGATGTTTATATCGTCCCCTTCAATAGTGAAACTTGGCAACTCTCAATCATCAAGTTACTAATTTATTGCTAGAAATATTTTAGTTTCTCCCTAAATACTGTTGTATAATACTGACTAAAATTATTTCAGATGTTTATATCGTCCCCTTCAATAGTGAAACTTGGCAACTCTCAATCATCAAGTTACTAATTTATTGCTAGAAATATTTTAGTTTCTCCCTGAATACTGTTGTATAATACTGCTTTGCAAAGGGATGTTGCAAAATCCGAAAATTACCTTGGAATGTCATCGCCATCAATTTCAACTCTGGCAGAGTCATACCCTCGATACTCAAGCCTTTACAATCTTTTTATGAGAAAATCTGTAGAGAAAAAATGCGCTTCTTAAGGGTTGGAAAGAAAAATCCCACTATTTGGTTACTAATTCGCTGCCTGAAACAAGACGCTGCATCAGTCGCTACAACGCTGAAGAAATTTGACGAAGATGGTGTCATTCCACGTAAGCAAGTGTCGACTTTTGAGAGAGATCGCCAGAAAAAACTGCATCAATTGTGCAAAGATAATCAAAGCCGACTTATTGAACGTTCGGATTTCTTGGAAAATATTTCAAAGACTCCTAATTTTTTGTAAATAAAAACTTTTCCCGTTTTTCTTTTTTTATTGAAATTTTTTGCAATCTTATGTTATTTGTTTTGTTTCAATTTGTTATTGTTTAAAAAAATCTAAGAGCTGGTGTACTTCCCTCAATCAGTAGCAAAGTAATGAAGTTTAACCAGCGGCGACTACCAAACTGACTACCAAGACTACCAGTTCTGAAAAAAAGTTCGGGGCTTTCGTTACAGCTGTGCGCGGGCATGGCGGGGATTTCGTGTCAGGGCTATTGTCCCGCGGGGCTTTCGTGTCCCGGGCTTTTGTCGCGCGGGGATAGTGACGGTTTCCCGGAAACGTCAACTACCTTGTGCTTGTAGATTGTCGAAAAATGGTTGTTCCTGAAAAGCACGGCAATTTCTCTCTCCTGAACATTGTCGTTCAGCTCACAGAGACCATGCCACGTCAGCTGGCAACGAGTCCTCTCCAAGAACACCGAGGCAGCTTCAGCTAAGGTGAAAGAAAGTAATAATCATCAGAACAGGAAAACTAGGAAAAGGTATCAGACTACGAACCTAGCGCCAAAGCATCCACGTCATCTTTCACTACAGATTCATCAACCAAGGCAGCTTCCACGAGGCGATTATAGCTAAATTTCTTGATCACCTCCGCCATGGGAGCATCGGGCTCGACGAGCCAACCGTGATACAGCTTGAGTCTCAGGAGATCAAAAATTATGCACGCTGACGTGTACTCAAAATCGCTCACCCTTGAATAGCAGGAGCAGACATGGGAGTTAATCACAAGCGTTCACAACGCAAACATAGATCATAAACAAAAAGACATTCACCCGCTGAACTTCACGTTCACATCCAGTCCAGTGCGAAGCTGTGCAAGAACATTGAAAGCTGAACTAATGTTCTCCTGTAAATCACGGAGGCTTTCGTTCTCGTAACTCTGAAAAAATTTAAAAGATACGCATTGCATTTAATACAATTCAACAATCCATGATGAAGTGATTCGATTTTTAGAAGAGCGTTTTTGAAAACTCTTCGTAAGAAGACAATTGAAACGGGATCATAAACTTTGCTGAAAGAAGAATACACGTGATTTATTATTGCGACGTTATTTTGAAAAGTTTCCAATTTCATCGGAAAAAAATGGATTCAGCTGCCCTCTGAAACCTAAATTTTTTCTTTCCATAGGAAAAAAAATTGAGGAAATCAAACTTAAGAAGTGCCAATTTTTTCTTCAAATTGCAAGGTCAATTTTGAGAGGCACAGCATATTGCGTCCAAAAAAAACCTACTTCGCAATTGAGAAGTCAACATTTTCAATCTTTATTGTTTGTCAGGAAAAAATCCAAACTGCAGATAATTCTAAACATTTAAAGGCGCCAGACAAAATTAATCTCTCGACGCATTTTTTCAAGAGCCTGAGAACTGAACCCAGGTTTGGTTCCCAGGCTCACCCAAGGACATTTCCATACTGCTAAAAAGAGGGAAGAATGAAAGTGGCCGAAATCCAGCCTTCATTTCTAATCCAGGAAGTTGTTGTGGTTAACTAAAAACCACAAGTTGGACACTCTCCGTTGAACTCTCAAACCGTGTAGATCTCCGGAGAACGCTTGTGTGAAATCAAATCATCAACCAATCCCGAAATCGGTATTTTTGTTCTTTGTACTTGAGAAAACTCTTCAGTTGTTCTGATCAATCTTGTTCTGAATAATATACCAATTTACAATAGGACGATAAGTCCTGGCTGCAGCCCAGCTGCTCAAATTGTATTTCATTTCTCTCAAACTATCTGAAACCAATTACAAATTTTGTATACCTTTCACCTTTTGTGTGGTAAAATAAAAATCCTCTGTTCCTCTTTTCCTCACATTGTTAAAAGTACTAGTCATCTTTTTAAAACCACAGAAATGCGTCACAATTTGTGGGAACATCGTCGAAATGGTTCACAAAAAATTACAGTAACTTGCACCGAGAAAAAACACATAAATAATTATTTCATAAAAAAATTCCCTTCCGAACCTGATCAGCATTACTTCAGCAGTATTGCTTATGAACAGAAGCAGATAATTTCGAAAAGGTTTTTAAAATTTTTGCGAGACTAAAAGTTACTTTGTCTACTACCGAATAAAAATGTTCTCGATCATAACTTACGAAGTGCGAACACTCACAAGGCCTAAATGAAACATTTCTCATTGCACGCTAATGAAAAGTGAACTTCGCGATGAAAAGCAAATTACTAATCCTTGTTCTCTAAAATAAATCGCCCGCAACAAAAATTTGAGTGCAAAAAAATGGGCAAATCCCGAACTCACCCCCGGGTTATCCTCGAAAACCATGTCGCCGATGAGATTAAGAAGATCTTCCATTTCGACCAGGTCATCACCAGGCAACTTCAACCGTCCCAACAAAACAAGGGCATTGCAAATTGCAACAAGCGGACAAGGTCCGTTCATAGTTTGCAACAAAATTCGCACTTCCAGGTCATGCCAGATCACGTTTTTCGTGTGTAGTTTTTCAGACACGCCGTCACCGACAGTTCCTGAGCAATATTCAACGTTACCCGCATTTTCACGAGTCATTTTCATCACATATACCTGCAAAAATGGGAATCATCATCCTCCAGATTTTTTCAGAGACTTTTAATAATAAAAACCGTGTTTTTCCGAACCTACGGACATAAACCTGAGAATATTCGTCAGTTCGTATCGATCACGGGTCAAAAGAATAAAATACTGAGCTTCAATTCATTCCTTCGTCGTCCGATAGACGAAAGCAGCACGACCTTCTGCTGAAAGATTACCCCGCTTTAAATCTGACAAAACTCAACGCCTCTTGCGAATTCAAACAAACCAACAATATGTATCACAAAATCTACTCGGTAGACCAAAAAGTGCACCACTTCCTATACAGGCATATCGCATCAATGGTTTCCAAGTTTCAAAGAATCAGCTCGATTTAGAACATGACTCACATGAGTCAGACCTCAAGGGAAAATTTCGTTGTACATTTCTTCATAGGTTTTTTCCTTGTTTGTTAATACCGATCATAGGTGGTATATCAATGCAATAAGAGAGGAAAATTCTTTCATACGTAAGAAGTACATCACTGCAATTAATTGAATGAACTTCAATTTTTAGTAGTTTTAAGGTCGCATTCATGAACTCCAGAGATGAATTATTGCTCTTAGATAGCTCAAAACTTAGTCCGATCATTACTGCACTTGGTTCAAAAATATCCTCAATTTCACTGAATCAATTAACTTACCCAGTAACGTAGTTCGGTGAACTCACAGAATATATCTCAATGAACAACAGCGGTAAAAAACATCAGACAAAAAAATGAGAGGAACAAATTTCGTGCATGGTCACCAAAATCACCAATTCATCCATTTAACCATCGTGCAAGTCAAAATAAATACATATCTCCACAGTTCCCAAAGAAACAAGTTAAGCTTTGAAAAGGAACAAATCAGTCGCTTTCAACTCGTAATCTCGTTTCCCAACATTCCCAACTGTTTCAAGAAGTGCGTGGCGTTTTGTAGATTCGTACTGCCATAAATAATCTGCTTTTGTTGGGCACCAGACGCTCCCGCACGAGACTTCGCGTAATCCATCAAATTTTGGTATTCAATATAGTTTCCACCTCCGACGGTGAATACGACAGCATCTGTGTATTGAACGCGTGAACGGGCACCAGAACCACTTCCATCTCCTGCCGCGGCGGAACGAAGCAGCTTCGGGTCGAAATAGCGGTAATCTTCAACTTCGGAGGAAGTCTTTTGCTCCATAAGGGACTCAACTATTCGGGTCACTGGAAGATTATGCTTTTTCACCACCAAATTCTTCACACCTTCCATCACGAAGGAGGATCCTTGGGTCATTAGTCTGCTGAACATGTTCACCTGCAATGAAATTACATTTCAAATGGATTAAAAATATGCGCGTCTTGGTCTCCTGCGATGTCAGAAACGTAACCATAACGCTTTTGAATAAGCTTATTCGGCTTTTGTGAATACAGCATGAACATTTTTGAAGAGCACACGCAAATGATCCAGGATTGCAACGAACATATCAGCAAAAGGCAGAAAAGTACTGCCCAATATTTCGTAAAAACATGGGATAAAAAGCCGAAGGGAGACATTTCGAGACATGCTTCTTTAAAAAGCCACAAGAAGAAGGATCACTCTCGTTTCATCACTCGCACAAGATGTATGCATAGTGGAAGATGTATGCATAATGATTCTCAAGACTATTTTATTATTAATGGAAGTAACCGTGGAAGATTCACCCACACTGGTTGCAATATCCATTTAAGGTGGACTCTCAAGAGTCTCAACAAGGATCTCATCCAAAACGATTTTATCTGTAAAATATTGTAAAACTATTTTTCCTCCACAGGGACCAACTCCCCTGTCACAGGGGCTCTTCAAAAAAAAATTTTCCGGGCTTTGAATCTCGTCGTGGAGAGAGTCCATCTGTACAAAGAACGTCAAAATTTGTTTCTATCCTGATCTTTCATAAGTTGTCACGCGAAATACGCCCTTCCTATAGCTTTATGGTCCGCCACCGACGCAAAAGTAGCCAAATTAAATAGCCCGAACAATAAAAACCCAGTCGAAACTGAATACAAAAATGTATTACAACACCAAGAATAAAATATTTATTAATAACCCATTCTGAGGGATAATCGTAAGTAGTTCGAAGATCAATAACACGAAGATAACATAAAAACTCACAGTTTTGGTTCCACCGCCTCCGTACTGAGACGCTAAGGACGATTGTCCAAGGTTAGAAAAGGCCTTCCATCTTTTCATATAACGGAGGGGAGCCAAGTCGCAACCTGCATTTCCTAAAGCAGTTGAGTATTGATCAAGCTCCACCTGCGAAATAGCAGGGTTGGAACAAATGTAGCAGATGAGGAAGAGCCGAAGTTTGTCTTCGGGTGTGCCGAAGTCCGGATCAGTGATCATATCCATCAAACTTCTATCCAACTGACTCCGACTCATGATTTTCTCTTCCATTTCAAAATACACGTCTAGTTTACGAGCTTTGATCTCATCTAGTACCGCAGTCGCCACCGTCATGTGCAAATCGATCAACCGCTTTTTCTCCAACAATTCAGGCAGCGAAGAAACAGCAGAAGTCAGCTTTGCAGTATTGTCTGAAATCATACTGATAGCTTCATCGTTCTCTGTATCACCACCTAATCCCATGGCGCTTTTCAGCTGTTTCACTTTATCCTCTGACGCACGATATTGGTCCAACTCTTCCTGCACGGCTTCCGCAACTTCCGGAAAAGGGCAGCCTTTTCGTTGCGTCCAAAATAAATCTGATGGCTCTAAATCATACCGCTTGCCTGCCATTTTCCCCATCGAAGTCTCTCCAGCATGACTCTTCTGCTGGGAAACTTGAACTCTGTTCAGGTCCAATTCTAGTACATCATGGATTAATGCTTGATAGGTCCACGTGTGATGCAGAAGAGTGGCTAAGTCCGCATTCCGATCTATGATGACAAGTAATGGACGATGGAAGCTCAATTGAGGACTATATTCCGCGGAGTTGAACAAAGAATTCCGCGGATCCCGAACATTGTCACGAAGTTTCTTGTCGAGCTTTTCTGCGACCATTTCAGCAGCATTCCCACGAGGACAGCGGATGATGGGTATAGTTCCCAAAGTAGCGAACACACAGAACAAGCCGTCGACGATTGAATCCATGATTGACTCCATTTCTTCATTCTTAATATCTCCTCGGTTCACACCATAATACGAAAACGCTTCGTTTCTTTGGTGTTTGAGCATGAATAGATCTTCCTCAAGAGATATGAAATTAAGATATTGATCAAATATCTTATGAACCTGTCGAAAACAATGAAGCATGAATATTGAGTTGAAGGATGGAACCACATTTTCACTCTCTTGATACTTACTTGGGCAACACACTCGCCCGCGATTGCGGCAGCTGCGATGTCTTCTAATCTTTGACGAGATATCGGCGAAATAAAATTGAAGTAATACGATTCATAGACTCCCTGCTGCAGATCTTGACAAATTCTCTGCACGTTTTCTTCCGTCGGTAGAACGAAGTACAGAGCGGGAACATCTGGGATAGGCTCACGATCGGAATGTAGCAATAGATGTAGTGTGACTCCCATGTCACGCAAGTCCTTAACACCAAGCAGCGGGAAGATTATATCTTGTCCAGCACGGTCATAGATCAACACTTTCCAAACGGGTTCAAGAGCCGTAATGTTTTTTGCTGGAGGCATCGGCACATTCAAATTCAACATGCGATGTATCGCCGCTATTTGCTTCTCTCGAATTTTAGAAGCCATGGTGTTTCCACCTTCCTGTAATTTGCAATCAGATTAAATTCATCATCCAAATCCGAGAATCTAATTCAACAAGATGCACCGCGACACGCTATCTCCAAGTCATCCGATGACCTTCCAACAACGAGATACACGTGTGCCGGAGTTTAGGACGCCGCCAGTTGTTGATTGCATTAATCACAGAGCTCGCGCTCACCACTTCAAATCTTGCGTGAGACCCCATCTCGCCGGAGCCGACAGAACTCCACGCCTGCAAAACTCTTCTCCGGACTAAGCTAATGCAGTGCGTATAACCAAGACCCCCAAGGTTTCATTAGCAATTTAATTACCTTGTAATGTTGTATTCATGTTGGTGCCAGCAGCATACGATAATATGGAAGAATATGTACTGACATAAGGAGCAATATGCGTTTGTTCTTCATGACAGAAGGACTATCATTTTCGACATCATTGTTCAAACATATGGGACTGATGTGAGTGACCTGCAGTGAGTCAACATCCCACCACCCTATCTTTTTCATCACTTCTCACCCCCTCCTCCTGAATTTTGGGAATGTGTGCACCCCATTGAAGGCAGCATCAAGTTTAGGGATTGAATTTCTGCTTCTGAATCAGATTTATCACTGAAAACAGCTCTGCAGCTTAGTTGAAAAAGTTATAATTAATGAATTCTTTTCTGGAAAGTTTTTGTTCAAATGGCAATTGTGACCCAGTCATGGCACTTGGGACCATAAAATCTCATATCATGTGAAAGGAAACTGAACAGGCATTCATTTAGTTTTTTATTGCTGTAGCTGATTTTATACTGAGCTTTTGAAATTTAAAAATTGGTTCACTTTGTTTTGGTTCACCCTGTATAACCCAACCAGGATACACCAAACCATATATCCAACATGGTAAATTTCCAATCTTCTGTATACTCTGGGTACGTGGAAGAAATACTGCAGTACTTTGTCCATGTATTAGTTTCATGAATGAGATGAGAAGGCATTAAAAAACCTCAAATCCACAATGCCCATTCATGGCAAATTTGTGTACCCTGTCCACACAGCATCCTTCCATATTCCATTTTTGAGCAGAAGTGTCACAGATTTCCATTTATCACATATCTTGATTTCTCTATATATATATATATATAATCATCCTGATGGGATCAACATCATGTACATAGATTAACAAAAAAGTTTCAGCATTCCAAAACCATCATCAGAATATTCTGTAGTGCAGTATTTTGGTTCTCTAAGAATAATAACCTCTGTGTCCCTATGATCAAGCATTCCGCACCCTGTCTCCTTCAATATGTTCACGGGTGAAACGATAATGAAATGAACTTACAGTCAACCCCCGGTTAACGTCCCGTCCAGTTAATGTTTTTTCAGTTAATGTTCCGGATCTCAAAAAGGAAAATCCCCCCTGTTAACGTTCCCGAACTCGGTTAACGTTTTTAGTTGGTGCAGGGGCAAAAACGTTGACTGAAAAAAAACGTTAACCGAGGGAGTCTTCCCCTTAAGAAATAAGGGAGAAACGTTTATTTGGTTCCACAAAAAGTTTTCTTAAGGTAAAATTCAGAAAAAAATTAATCAAAGAGTGTATTCCAACAACTGAGCTTTATGCACTGCCATTACATTCAAAAAGTAACCACAGTTCTTCACTCAATTAAAATCAGAGATTCATTTTAATGACACAAAAAGTCACTCATCAGAGTCACTTG